TGTCATCAATATCGGCACACCACGCACTGTTTTCGCAATATCTCAATAGAGGAAAAAAATAAAATGTGGTTTCGATTGATTTTGCAAGATCGAGCAAAGCGCTACAAAATCAGATGCTTTTGAATTTTTTCAGAAGTGGCCTTCATAAAATAAAATGGCATAACTTTCAATCGGATACCGTTTTTTGCATTTTCCCCAGATTTCTCCTCTATTTTAATCGGAAAAGTAGAATTTGATAAAAAGTGAACAAATAACGTATTTGGAATCAGCGTAAAAATTTGAGTTGGTTGACGCGAATTTTAGCCTTCTTCAATGAAATATATTTTTCTCGAAAAATTAGCTTGGAGTCCCCACAGGATTTATTGAAACAATTAATTTAATCAAAACAGTTTCGATCCATCAGATAAATGTCTTTTTGCGCGGTAGTAGTGTTTTACACATTTTGAGATTGTATTCATTTGATAAAATCCTGTTTTGATTAAATTAATTTTTTCAATAAATCCTGTGGGGGACTTCAGGCTAATTTTTCGACAAAAATATATTTCATTGGAGAAGAGTAAAATGCACACCAACCAACTCAAATTTTTACGCTGATTCCAAATACGTTATTTGTTTTCTATAAAATTCTACTTTTCCGATTAAAATAGAGGAGAAATCTGGGGAACATGCAAAAAACGGTATCCGATTGAAAGTTATGCCATTTTATTTTATGAAGGCCACTTCTGAAAAAATTCAAAAGCATCTGATTTTCTAGCGCTTTGCTCGATCTTGCAAAATCAATCGAAACCACATTTTATTTTTTTCCACTATTGAGATATTGCGAAAACAGTGCGTGGTGTGCCGATATTGATGACACGCTTGGATGATTCTCTTTCGTCCTCTTTCTGTTCTCTTTCCATTACTCTAATGTATCTCTCTCCTGTCTCTCTCCTATCTCTCTCCTATATATGCGTGTGTTATGCTTGAAGTTGTTATACTCTGGATATGTGAAGAAGCGAATAAACATCATGGCCTTGAGTGACGGTGCGCTACTCCACCTCTACCCAGTTTGTCTTAATACATCAACTAGCAAGAGTCCTATTTATCGTTACACGTGGGTAGATAGGAGTATTTGATAATTTTTACACAAACCTTGATAGATTTTCATTACTACACAGTAACATTTCAATCTTTCGGGCTGAAATTCTCACCAAAGAGTGAGTAGGGAGTGAGCAGTTATTTGACACAATTTTTGATTCGAAATATCTCATTAGGAAACATACTATATATGTGTTCGTTCTATGTACGAATTAGTCATTTATATACAAAACCGGATCACAGTATTTTGAACAGAACTACCCATAGACTCTGTCAAAATAATTTGGTTTTGGTATCAAATGATTCCTCGTAAGATTGTGCGTCTAGTGAGCTATAAACAAACCGAAACAAACGATGGCCCAAAACTGGCAACATACGCACCCCCGTCTTTTCATAGTAAGGAAAAAGTAATAGTCCCGCTTAAATGTGAGCGCTACACTATACTTGAATTTAAATATTTTTCTGTTGATCCAAATTACAAGTTTGAGTACATAATTTGTTTTATATATCTATTCTATACACTAATGTTAAGTTAGCATCAGAGTAGGTTGCATTCGAGCATGAATACTAAAGTACATCATGTCCTATTATTAATTAATAATGTAGAAATAAATTAAAATCATTTCAGTTCATATCTGAGTGCCTGTCAATAGTTTTGTTTTATTTGGTCATCTTCGATCTATGATGATGTTGATAAACATAAGATACAGCTGAAAGAAAAATTGTTCAATCCAATAAATTGTTAAAGATTCTTTTTTCAAACTTTGAGTGAGACTCTATGAACTAATTGATAGAATATACTAATGGGGATTTTAATAAATTGTGTTTGATTCACTTTACTAGAGTTTTTATTTAGTGAAATTTTTCGAACTAATTTTTAACAAATTTTTAGTTCTATAAAGCAGTAAAGTAATATTCGGAAAATGTCTGAAATTCATCGACCAAAGAATCAACAAGAAACAAAGAATGAACGCCCAGATAGATTGGGTACAAATATTTATTCTTCGAACGACGGTAAAAGTATGCATAAATCATTAAATGGTGAATTTACTTTTTATCAAATGTTAATTGGACAAATTTTCGATGAAAAACAATCATTAGCAAATAAAAAAAATTCTCTGGTGGAATACTTTAAACCAACTGAAAAAAGTGACAAAAAGATTATGATGGAGTTCGATACTGCATATAAACCGGAGAAAGCAATTCATTGGTACACGAGAGAAACATGTGTTTATAAAATTTTAAATAAAGCTTTACGAACACAAAATATGGATAAGATTTTTCCATTTGCACCATTCATCAGAGATATCAACAAGCAATTAAGTGATGAACATAAATTATGGGTTGAAAAGCAAAAAACATCAAGTATTACAGTGCATCGAGGACAACTCATTAGTAAAGATGAAGTTACTCTTCTTAAATCAAATCAAGGACAATTACTATCAACTAATTCATTTTTATCTACAAGTACAAATAAAGAGAAAGCTTTAGAGTTTGCCAAAAGTCAATCACCACCAAATGATGAATTAACAACGATTTTATTAGAAATACAAACTGATTTAAAAGCTGTAACTAAGCCATATGCTGATATAAAGCATCTAAGTGCTTTTTCCAAAGAAGAAGAAGTTCTTTTCATGTTTTCTATGGTTTTTCGCATTGAAAATGTTTGTTTCGATGAAGAAAATAAACTTTGGCTTGCAAAATTAGTTGCATGTTCACAAACTGATCCAGGTATAAAAGATTTCTCATCATCATTAGATGAAGAATTCGATGGATTATCTCGATTTATTGCACTTGGATATTTTTTTATTGAAATGCTACAATACGATCGTGCAGAAGAACATTTTCAAAATATTATAGATAAAAATTTAACAAAAGACGATCTTGAATTAGCTTATTGTTATCATGGACTTGCTCAAGTTAGCAATGAAAAAGCAAACAATCGTTTAGCTATTGCACATGCAAACCAAGCATTAGAATATTTATTGAATAATCCAGCGTTAAGTGAGAATCGACTTGTATCATCATGCTATAATGAATTGGGATCAGCTTATACTCATAAAAAAGATTATGTTTCTGCTCTTCAATGTTTATCCAAAGCTTTATCAACACATTCTGATAATAATAAGAATAAAGTGAAAACTTATTCAAATTTAGCAGATGTCCATTTTAAAATGGCAAGTTATCAAATAGCATTAGAATATTCTGAAAAAGTTCTTCAATATCAATCGAAAACATCTTATGCGTTGATTGGGAATACATACAAGGAGATGGGGAAAGCTTATGGAAAACTCAATAATAAAACAAAAGCAACAGAATTTTTTGACAAAGCAATTGAATATCAATTGAAAGAACTACCTGCTGAACATCCAGATGTTTCCTGTACTTATAATGATCTTGGATTAATCATGTTAGATTTTAATAATCAAGAAAAAGCTATCGAATATTTTGAGAAAGCTCATAAATCACAGTTAGAATCATTGCCTAGTAATCACCCTGATTTTGCAAATATCCATAGAAATCTCTCTAATTATTACATGAAACAAGACGATTTAGACAAAGCATTACTCCATCAAGTAAAAGTATCAGAAAATCAATTGAAAACATTATCGTCGAGTCATGCATCAGTAATTGATACAAATCAAGCTATGAAAGATATTTATGTAAAACAGAAAGATTATAAACAAGCATCAATTTGCACTCTTCAAATACTCGATGCTCAAATAGAAAGAAAACTTGGCGATTCGTCACTAACTATTTCGTATCAAAATCTTGAAGATCTGGCTTTAGATGAATCCAATTTAGATCAAGCATTAAGTTTGTGTCTTCGAGCACTTGATCTTGAATTAGAAACTATATTACAGCAAGATTTTTCATTAATTTTTCTTTATAAAGCCATTGGCAAGATTTTTTATAAGAAACGTCAATTAGACCAATCATTGGTGTATTATTATCGTTTGCTTGATTGTCATTTACAAAAAAAACCATTTAATCAATCAAATATTGATAAAGTTTATACTTATATTGGAAAGATTTATTTAAAAAAGTCTGATTTCGATAAAATATTATTTTATGAAAAAATGAACACTAGCCCATCAGTAAATGATTCATGCATGGATTCACATCAACTGATTGATAATATTTATTTTAAAAAACGTCATGCAAAACAATCTTTTCATTATTTTGAAAAAGTTCTAGATGCAAACTTAAAAAGTCATTCGACCAACAATTCAATTCTCGTTAAAACATATTATATTTTAGCAAATATTTCTTTTGAACGAAAAAAATTCGATGAAGCTTTAAAATATTTTTTTCAAGTATTAAATAATGAAGTAACACAAAAATCAATTCATAATCGATTGTTGAAAAATCTATACAAAGCTATTTCTACTATTTATTTGCAAAACAATAATTATACTCAATCGTTTATTTATTTAAAAAAATTACTTAACATACAACAAAAGCAAAATCCTTCTGGAGATGAGTCGTCTGCTCGTACATGTGTACTTCTTGGCAATATGTATGCTCAAAAATCACATACTAGTGAAGCATTACAGTATTACAAACTAGCATTATCTTATTATCAACAAATACATACAGTAGATCAGTCATTGATTAACGCAGTGCAACTTAAAATAAATCATTGTCATTCACATTTTCCTAACATATAAAACTCGAATATTCTTTTCTTCTTTTTTTTTTAAGAAACAATTCCTTACGATTCATATACTTAGAAATATATAGTTTTATCTGCTATTCGTGAATTATTCAAGATTCTTTATGGTTTTTTTGTTTGCTTTATTTTGCTATAATAAAAGGTTCAAAAGTTACAAGAGCCAGACGTTCGAAAAATAGCGGGAGAGAATCTACTATAATTGAGATCTTTAACCTGCAATCTATATATATATACGTGGCGTGGAACTGCCAGCGTAGAATTTTTCCCTGTTGTATTGACGTGTGTGTGATATCAAGGTATGGTCGAGGACCTAAATGAATGTGTATGCACCAGCACACGCCCACATCGGGCAAAACATTTTACTTCATGCGTTTCTTACAATTCTAGGGCTGTCTTTTCTAATAAATAAAGTGTGGCTAGGTAATCAAGTATCAGTAGCTGGATTTTTGCAGTGTGATATATTGTAGTAAAGCGAACGTTAGTGATATACTGAATCTCATGTTACAATACGAAATACTGATTGTATAGATGGGAATCAATATCATGCGCTCACAGATAAACCGATAAACATAAATATCTTATCTCGACTACATAGACCACTAAGATATTTCGTTTCTTTCCCAGCGAGTACTAGATAGGTCATTACCGACGAGATTTTCTTTATACTTGCTAACAATCGAATTAACAGAAAGAAATTTGACTAAGAAAGAAAAACAATAACGACTAGAGATGCACTAGTTCGATTGTACTGGTGCATGTCTAGTCGTTAGGAGTCCTATTCACAGTACACTCATAGTATTCGCCATCAGCGTCTAGTTACTGAAACGATAATGTTTCCTTCATATCGTCTGCCAATGAAAATGAAGTATTTCTTTTATTTGTGGCAGGTGCTTTGGTGACGTTTATATTATTTCCCTTATAATTTCGTTAAATCAATATTGAAAGAAATTTCCATCATCTACGCTTTTTGTTTCTGATTGAAAAAGAATAGAAGAAGCATAATAATAATCGAGCTACAGCATCCATCAATAAGCAAAGAAAATTCTATTCAATTGTAATATGTCGCCACAAGCTGAAGTATTTCGATTGTTTGAGATATGAGTACAAAAAATAAGCATAGGATGAAAGCGTGGCTGAATATTTCACAATATGGAAATTTAATTCATATTTTGTAACGCTGTTGTTTTAAAACATTCTGCAGAATAAATATGTATATTTTGAAAATTATGTGTATGATTGTCGATTGTGCTAACTTCAGAGTGAAGTTTATTTTATTTTAAGCCACGTCAGTATTCACAAACACATTTTCCCATTCGGGTATACAAGTAGAGCTACACATGTCAAATGGTAGGATGCCTCTCAAACTTTTTGAATCTCACAGGAAGGTACAGGTGACTATTTCATGTATTATTTTTTCTTCTAATACACAGATCCTGATGAGTAAATTTTTAGAGTGGGCGGTGACTATTCCTTTTTTGATTGTCGCGACATCAGTATGATTGTTCTCATTAGGAATAAAAAAAAAGTATTACTCGAGTTGCCAACAGTCATTTATGATTAAAAAAAACCATCATGATGTGATAGAATATGTGCATGAGTAATGTTTATTAATGTACTGGTTTATCCGTATACATCAGGAAGGCTTAATATTATAGTTTATAAACTTATAGTTCCGAAACCCAGAATCCAACTGGATTTCCCCGGTTAGTAGGATGTTTTAGGATCCGATAGAATCCGTCGCCGGATTAGTCGACCTGGGAATGGGTGGATAGATAGATAGACAGGGGCGTAAGTCAGGTCTCAGAGCAGGGGGGCGTAACTCTAATTTTTCTGTTTTCATGACCTAAAAAATGAAACTTTTGGAAGCAGGGAGGGCGTTAACTTTTTTTTCTGTTTTGGTGAGCAAAAAAAGAAGAAATTTTCAAAAGCAGGGGGGCGTTACGCCCCACTCCCTATTTACGCTCCTGTAGATAGATAGATAGGTAAATAGATTGATGAATAGATAGATAAATAGATTGATGGATAGATAGATATATGGCTTTCTAAGTTGAAATTGCAAAATACATAAATAGGATAGACTTTTATCTTTTGCTTCTTCTTGTGAATCATAGGATTTTCGGGAAATTTCATTCGCACTCAAAGTCACATTAAACAGCTACTATAAGTCAGACTATAAAATTTCCTTTTATTTGTATTGATTTTGAGTAATATATGATATGGATGTATATACGTACTAATATCGCCCTATCTCTCGTTCCTTATATGTGATTGATCCGAAGGAAAGAACTAACGATTTTTTTTGCTTTTCTGTTCATATAGCTATCGATAAATAATCGATCGATATCTTGAGGGTGGGTTAAAATAAACTACACTCGCTCTCGCACATACGATTGTTATCAGTGACCTCTATATAAATGATAAATAAATATAATCTTTGAATTTTGTATATGTTCATGTAGTGTTGTCTCGAATTGGAAAAAAATAAAATGAGCATACCCATATTAGTTATATCCATATAGTCTATATTTCTTTTAGAATTACTTCTTTGGCACCTATAGATAGTAGCACTAGCAAAGGGTTTCAGTCTAAAGCAGATATTGAACAAGGTGCTTGATACAGGTACAGTCGCATTCGAGAGTAAGCGAAATTTAGAATTTTTTTACATTTAAATGATGCAATAATACTCATTACTACAAGACTATAAAAGCAAGTGCATAACTGTAAGAAGTCAGCGAATGGCTCCTCCAAAATATGTATGAGTCATAACGTCCTACCGATAATGACTCATTTATGTATCTGACTGGAAAATTCCAACTTCTTCGACATCATAGTTCCATATTCTGAGAACTGAAATATATGACGCGACTTCTGCTTGGTAAGTGTTATTAAGACAATTGTAACTTAAACTTTTTAATTAGATTTTCAATTTTTTTTTCTTCCTACCTATCAACACAGAAATAAACGATGGGATGTACATGTACCTATTAGAAAATGTTGTTACTCACATCCATTATATATATATATATATATAACGAACTTTTCAGAGGAACATGCAATCAAAGGATTTTTCCTGTTGCAACATCATTGCGAGTAAAAATTCTTAAAATCAAAAACAAATTAGTTCAAAAATCAATATTCACATCTTGATGCTACATTATGAGAGCATAATAACTGTTCGTTTTTAAACTTACCTGAAAGAATAGTTCAAGTTGATCTAAGATGGCCTTTGACAAAGATATTATTATTATGATACCATTAAGAAGAATTATATTTTTTGCAACTTTTACGATCAACAAAAATTTCAACAAACGCATTGGGAGGATTCAGGCAAAACAATCGATATGCTGTTAAAATTACGGATTTTACTGCCACTCCGATTTGTGTCGGCGCAACTCACTGGCGAATTCTAATCTGAACAATATTTTCTATTGTGTAAATTTTGCGTGTCATCAGAGGAATTACTGAAATGTAATTGGAGAATTTTTATAGAATGGTTTATGTATGAATGAAAAAGCGTTGTAATTGGACGCGAAGAAAGTTAAAACATCGAAATCTATATACCTGGTTCAAATTGTTCTTCTCAATATTATGACGCCGACTATTGTGTTTATTGAAAGCATTATCGTTCCAAACCATCAGATTTAAGAGAAAACAAGAAAGAAATAACTGGGTGATCCCATCGTTATTGTAGCACTAGTCACGTATTCTATATTCAACAACGACAGCTATCAAAAAGAAAAAGGAAAGCAATATGAAGTGTTGTTTACTACAGTGCCGCATCTCAAATGCCACTTTCTTCTACGGTTTTTCCCTAGTAACAGTCTTGGCTATTTTTTTATCGTATCTAGTTAGATCATTTATCTTGATATAGGAGGAAAAAACCATGAATAATATTTTGTAACTCCACGAAAGAAAAATAATATCTAAAGAGAAGAGGTCGAATGTGCTATGTCCCGTTCGAAACGTTCCTTGTTTCTTTTCATTAAAAATGAGGCATTAAAAATTAAAATTTCTTTTATTTTCTTTTATTGTTTTTGATAATTATGTCAACCACGATAATTTAGTATCACTTTATTATTCATAATTTAGACTTTGCTCGGTGAAAACTCGTCATATTAAAGTTCTTATTTTAATTTCAGATAAATTTCAGAATTAAAACAATAATGACATCCACTATAAAAACCGAACTTTTCCAGCCAAACGATCCCTCAAATTCCTCTGGTAATATATCCGAACACTTAACATGTGGATATATTATACTTAATTGTGAAAACGTCAACGATAAATGGAAATGCATTCATTGTTTCCGAATTATCAAAGAACCTATTCAACTAACGGAATGTGGCCATAGGGCTTGTAAAGGGTGTCATGAGTCTCGTGCAGCATTAGCTATAGATGGCATAATGATTTGTCCAGTAGAGGAATGCAAACAGCAGTATTATAAAACTGAAGTAAGAATTCTTTTTCATCCTATAAACTATCATTAAGATGAAATGTATATATTGTTTTGCTTGCAGATAATGCCTGATCGTGCATTTAAAAGAGAATTGGACATACTTCCTGTTGTTTGTCGTCATAAAATGGATCAGAACTGCGCTTGGACAGGACCATTGAAAGCTTATCAAGTCAGTGTTTCAAACCGTTTTTCATGATAAGAATAATTTCAGATACTATTCTATATTTTAATAGGAGCATCTAGATCAAAGTCACGTTCACTATCCGTGCGATCTGTGCGGACAAGTATTTTCATCCAGCCAAGCATTGGAAGATCATAAATCAAAAACATGTCCAAGTCTTTTTCAAGCATGCCCTTTAGCCCCTTATTGTTGTCAAGAGATGGTATAAGACAAAAACTAAATTTTTCTTTTAAAATTTTTCTTTTTGAATTGAAGATTCCCAAAACTGACTATTCAGCCCATTTATTAAGTGCAAAACATCAAGAAACGGTTGCTCTATTCTTAATTGGTAAATATGAAATTCCAGATACATCTGAACAAGATCAATCAATGGAATCAAGTTCAGTCGCAAATGAACTTGAACAACGAACTTATGAAAAGCTATCTGATTTAGCTGAAAAGGTTCAAAAATTAAATGACGACACAGTTACATTAAGTCGTGATTTTGTTAAATTAAATGAACTGAGTCAAATAACTATTCAAGAAATTAATCATTACCAAACAGCAACGAATGAAAGAAATGTATTCATGTCTAGTTTGCAGCCTAAACAAGACTCTATACAAAAAGATATCGAACGATTGAAACAGAACCTTGAAGAAAATCAACATGTATCAACGGATGGTACATTAACCTGGCGAGTTGATCGTGTAGCAGAACGAATGGCTGATGCTCAATCAGAAAGACAACCCAGTATTTATTCACCAGTATTTTATTCGTCAGCAACTGGTTACAAGATGCGTGCGCGCTTATATTTACACGGAGATGGAAACGCGAGAAGAACTCACATGTCTTTATTCTTTCTACTTATGAAAGGAGATTATGATGCTCTTCTTCCTTGGCCATTCAGCTACAAAGTTACTTTTTGTCTATTTGATCAGACAGGAAATAATCGACATATTATCGATTCTTTCCGTCCTGATGTAAAATCGAATTCTTTTCAACGTCCTCAAACAGATGCTAATATCGCGAGTGGCATTCCGAAATTCTTTCCTTTACCCATGATTCAACAGGATGACAATCCTTACGTTAGAGACGATATACTTTTCATCAAAATTATTGTCGATCTACATGATACACCAAAACTAATATTACCGTTCATGTTAACACTAAATCCTGGTCTACCTTACCATGTACAACAAGTTCTAATCAATCAAGAAAAAATAAAACGAGACCAACAACAAAATACTCTGACTACGATAACAGCGAGCCAGCCAACGCCAATGAACACTTGTGGTTAAAGCAGAAAACTTCTTTTGAAACTCGGGCTCATTGAAATTTATGTTAAATATAAAATTTTGTATTTTAATTCGCATAGTTCATGGGCTAGTTGCCGGTATAAATCTACGTGATATTTTCTTTTTGTCTTATGTCTGATTCAATTGACGTGAGAAACAAAGCACGGGACATTGCTTTTTCCAGTGAGAATTTTCCAACAAAGTCTAGAAAGAAAGAAATAAGTTATTATTTAAAGTATCTTATGAATAGTAGAAGGAAGGAAGTTTACTTTCCTTCATAAAAATATTGCAAAACAAGATTTCTTTGAAAATTAAAGACTATAGAAAAGTTTATCAAAAGGAAATTTTAATTTGTTTTAGATTCAATGTAATATTTAATAAATGCTGAACTTGATTCTACCATGAATTATTTCTATTTAAATCTAGTGCTTGTTGTTTTTCTATTTCCATTCATATTAACACTTTGAAAAATGTTTCTTTTTAGTTCACAAAATTCAGTATTGTATAAATAACTAATTGTCTAAAATAAAGCAATTAATATTGTACATTCTAACTAAAAAATTAACTGCTATAAAATCGTTGAGCTCATACAGTGCCAAGGTGAGATTGATACAATTCTAAAATAATTTCGTTCACATCGATTTTCTAAATCCGAATTAAGATTGTTTCAATGTATCTTTTACTCAAAATGAATTCAATACTTAGCAACGACAAATTTGGATGTAAAATTCATTCTATATGCATATCAATTAAATGAAAAATAGTTCACTATGAAAATTCAATTCGAAAATTAGAGACCTTAGTTTATGGATTGAATTAGGTGAAAGTTTAGTAGAAAAATCATATGATATGATTTTAACAAATCATGGAAAATATTTATTTAAGGCTTTTGTTGATCTCATCAACGTGCACGATCAACTTAAATTCTTAGTATTTGGCCGAATGATACTATCGTTAATGACATCGTTAGCAGGCCTACACATCGAGTTGAATGTCAAAGTTGACTCATATTTCTACCAATCATCGTAGTCACAACCAGCGAATGAACGGTAGTGCCCCGAAGGGAGTAACATTCATGGTTAAAAAATTAGTTTTCGAGTCCTTTACGAGGCGATTCAGGTACTTTTATTTCTTCTGAGAAAAATGGAAAAAGCATTTTGCAAGCAGGTGGTGATCGCGGTTTTGCCGAACAAGTGAATCCGCTGGTGACCGAGTGTATTAAATATGATCTAGACATCTTCAAAATTTGTAGAGATTTGAAAATAGTTCTCATAAATCTGTAGAGACCTTACTAAATAGTTCATCAATACATTGAAACGAAAATTAACAATCGATATGGTCATTGCATTTCATGGGACTTTTTCAAGTGTGTTACTTTCTTTCTTTTTTTCCTTCTGGTCCATGATACTTAAGAAAACATATATTTGAGATTATAATGTGATTCCTGTACACACACACACTAGTCTTCCTATTTCATAAGACGTAATTATTTTTTTTTTTGAAGTAATATAAGTAAACTTTTATTTATGATGAATAACCTTATTAATATTAGTTTTGTATATATCCCAAAGAAAACATGCCTTCTAGCAAAAAAATGAATTGGACTTATCAGAAGGTATATTCTCAAGTATATAGACTTATGATTGATGCGGTCCACTAAATGAATTCATCCTGGAATAGGATAAATATTTACTCGTGTTTTTTTCTCCAGTGCATCCACGTCTATCGTTTGCGTCACTATTTCAGATCAGATAATTCTAAATACAATAGCTTTCTAATCTATTATAATACGATATTATAAAGAATATTCCTTTTACAGATAATTTTACTACTTGAGGAGGAGTTATATGCATATTCAACAAATCCTCTTTTTTTCTTCCAGAAGTATCTCGCTTAAAGATATTGATATATGATACGTTGCAGTATCCAATGGTAGACTTTATTTAACAAACTTCAATTTAATAATCATTCGTGATATTTTTTGTGCTACATTTTCTAGCAAATGTCATAGTGTGCTCGAGTATCATATTGTTTAAAAAATAAGGTTTGCTAACAGTTGACAACGAGGTTGAAAGGTCGTTAGGACACGAATAGATTTTTCATAAATAAACTATAAGATTTTCAATTAAGATAAGCGTTCGCCTAGATAAATTTAATGTTAAAGAGTATAAAAAGTCTTTAAAACTTTTCGTCTATGAAAATTTTTTTTGTATGCCAATCAATGAAATTATGAGAAATCAATCATGTCAGAAATGCGTGACACTGAAAACTGCATGCTCATTTATATTTATGAAAAATGTCAAAAGAGCACAAATCCAAAAAAGTCTCCATTAAATGTCTTCTAGATTAATTCTAATAGCATTCGTTTGTTTTTCAATTATAAAAAGTGTCTATTACAAAGGTTTATTAGTAAAATGATACCGTGTTTTCTCGAACTCTTCCGAATAGACAGGAAGAAGAAGAAAACAATTAATGATTCTTCATATCTGAGTGGAAAGTTTCTCGTAGCTACGCCATACGAAGAAACAATTTGTGAATGTTATCAACTACTTTGTATGGGTTTTTAGATAGGGTGAGAATCATGTTGTTTTATAGGTTATTATTTTAATCGTTATGATTTTATTGAAAAATTTTCTATAAACTCCGTCGATAAGAACTAAAACGATACACCTTAGTTTTACGGTTATTTTCCTTTATTAGAACTGTTTGCTCTTATATCAATATCATAAATATTATTTTTAATTATTTAGTCAACTCTGGCGAATAAGAGTTTTATGGCCAAAGGGATTTGCCGAGACAAGTAAATATATGCTGCATATGTGTCCAAATAATATCATAAAAATTTACTTTTTGTTTGTTATATTTTATTTAAAATAACACCAGTCCATGATTCATAAATGAAACACTAGCACTTCTGTTTCCATTTGCATGATATGAAACCCTATGAATGCACTCCACGCAAAATCTTTAGTAAAAACAAACTTTCTTAAAGAGCGGATATTCCCATAGAATATTGATGATATGCAATTAGAGCATTAAAAATGAAACCAAATATCTATATATTTATAGTTAATTAAATAATCAAAAATCTATGAATAAAATAAATATGATGTCAAACGAAAATCATCGACAAAGTAGGACGTAACAAAATGTTTTTAGCTAGGGAAGCTATTAATTATATAATTTTTGTATATACACCTTTTTCAAAAATATTAGACGAATAAATTAATATCAATATATAGGTGCACGATTTCAAAGGCAAAAACAAAGGAAGTAAACGCACTTCAATTTTTTATATGAAACGATATTGATATATGCAAATATTCGTCTGTTTGCTCTTTTTCTCATATCTTATCGATAAATTTATTGGATATATCAAGATTGCTTGATGGAAGAATAATTATTAATTCCATGCATTAAATTGTGATGTTCAGTTCTGTTGCTTTTTTCACAAAAAAAAATTTTGAATTTTAATTGCATATTCAACAAGTATCCAGTCACTTAGCGATACTTTTAATAATGAAAAATAGACTTGACAGTTATTTTAATCAAATTCTCACTTCCTTCACTTCATCTTATGCTCATATGTGATGTCATTGGAGCTATTTGGTAATTTTAATAATATGAACTAAGAATATAAATTTAATCTAATATTATTAATAAAGAATATGATTGCGAATAATTACACGTGTGAGATTTAGAACCATGAAATTTATTATTTATAGATAGCTGATTCATAGTGATCAAAGTTTGCTATATCTTTTATAATGTTATGGTAGTTTCACAGATTATGTTGATCTGATTCCTTTTTCATATTTATACCAATAATCTATCTTGTAAAACGAAAAAGAACGTTTATGACTTTTCAAAAAATAAGTTCCTTTTTTTATTTCCACAATCATATGCTATTACACAGAACAACTCTTATAGATAAAAAAAAATAGGATTCTCCCATATATCTATTTATATATATATATATGTAGAATAAAATGACAATTTTTTTTTAATAGAATTCATTTACTTACTGATGTTTCTTTTGTAAACTCTTAACAAAAAGTATTTATTAATTCTCTGCAGGCTGTCGGATCATTTCTCGAAACATTTGATTCTATTGTTTTATTCAGCCTTTTTTTTTATAATACCTTATTTTATTAAGTATTACCATCAATTAAGTATGGATGCCACTCCGAAGAAAAAAGTCACCTTGACGAGTCGTCATTCGTACTAAATTATTTTTGACAATGAAATATAACAATAAAAAAAATGAGCCCATAGTCGACATGCCTTCATAATATTACGCGTGCATACATTTATGAAAATTGTCCTTTCTCTTACTTCTTCTTTTTTTTATCAGATTAATATTACTAGAATAATTCCCGTTTGGTGTGTTGTTCATCACTTACTCTTTTTTTTTCTTTTTTCCCACTTCAATAATGTGAAATTCTGTGTCTTTTCTTTCTCTTTATTTTTTGGTGTGCTCTGTTACCCTTCAATTACGTATCACTTCAATGTTTCCGGTGACAAACGCGTTGAATTTATGTGTATATGTAGTAAGCCGACGGTATAAAGAAAGAAGAAGAGAAAGAGGCACACGTGCATACAGACGACAAAGATTTAGCCCAGCTTCGTCGATGATGACGATGACAAAGCATAATCGTCGTTGATGTATTGGTGCGTATTTATGCGAACACGAACAGATGGGAGATTGACTTTTCGCTTGTTTAGTTGCTTTTTACATCTTGTTTTGTTTTATTTCTTCAGCAATTTTTCGATAAAGCAAGGTCATAACACTGTAATTTTAAATAGAAAAAAAAAGAATCGCTCATGGTATTATTAAGGTAACATACAGATAACTTTTTTCTTTTAACACGTTCGAAAAATCAAATAAGTATATACATATATAAATATTAGAACATTATTTTTAACCGACTTCTAAAATCAATACGTATTCAGACAGACTCATCTGGAGCTCTATGCTAGAGTGTCTCAAATACCCTTATCAA